TTTTAACACTATCCTGAATGTCTTAGCCTACAAGCATGCAAAAGTTGAGTCAGATGTGCAGGTCCAATGGATGTTTTCGGGATCATGTTAGTCAGATTTTGAATCAAATATTCCTTTTCTATGTTTATCATGCTGACAGCATTCACAAAGTGGGAGTAGTTAAACTCACGGAGTTCTCACGATAGACAGGTGGCGTATCCTGTGATTTTTTTGACTTGAGCACTGTCAGAGTCACAGACCAACTAACTAAGACATCAGGTGTACAAACATATCAGACTTGACCGATTACTATAAGAGTCTCTGAGTGAGTCGTAAGATAGTCAAACGCTAGAATCAAGGAACTGATGTTGGAGCTGATTGCAAGTTTTTATTTCAATCAAGTGTACATTCTTCTCTAGCTCGGAGAAGGAGCATCTAGTTACATAACAATGTATGTTCATTTTTAGGCTCAGTATGTTTCAGGACATGGATCTGATCCAGTCCATTCTGTAGATATATTTTTTTCTCTACAGCTCTCTAGAACTTCGAGTCCATAACTGCATGAGCCCGTTGGTGGGGTTCAGTGGGAGTGAAAATGAGCAGCACTTTTATTTTGGTGCCGTGTTAGATTCATGCGTGAACTCCGTAGGAAATCGACTCTTCTAGCTGTAAGTCTCCTGAAAGCTGGGGCGGTGGAACACCAGCATGTGCACCGACGACGACTGAAAACGGGGAAATGTCTGGAGATGAGGACGAGAACCTGCTTTTACAAATACAAGAGAAGATGTCAGTGCATGAGCTTCATGCTTTCAGGCATGACACCACGAGTCCTTCACATGCCCTCTGTCGGATATCATGACTGTCTCAGCAGAAGAGGAGGTGAAAGGGGTGGCGTGCATGGGCTGATCAGAAACTCGGCCGTGCTGCGTCATATGACAGCTTCAGTTGTGTGCAGCACCGCCGAACGATCCTCAATCTGCTGTTGCAGCATTGGAAACTAATTTACGAAAAAAACCCGATCCATGATCATGAGCATTCATTCTTTCTCGTACAAAGGACGATATTTGACATTTTCCCTGGTCTTCGTTAATTTGGCAACTTATTTGATGCTCGGGCCTCTTGACAAGCCATTAACAAGTAATGGTCTTGTCAATTATCATCTGTTATCAAAGAAGCCCGTCGTGGTATTGACCTGATCGACCTTTTCACAGCTCTCGTTTACTTGATCGAACCCCTCCAAACTATTTGCTAATGGCCGGCAATGCCTCACTTCCGACCACAACCAAGCATGCTCCGATGCATTCCAGAGCACAAATTCCTACACCACCAAGCTTGGTGCAATACGCAGGTCCTCGGAAACTCTGAGCTGAGGTGTACTTCCTACCCTTTGACCTTCGAATCACACCATAGAATGAACTCTTGGTTGCATTCCAAAGACGCGATCGAGTAAAATGTCACATGCAGTTTCATGCGGATTCGAGTTTTGCCGTTTCATTTCTCCCCCTTCGATGATTTTATTGCAGTTTTTTTTTTGCTTTTTCAGTACTCTTAAAGAATTCATTTTCTTTGGATATAATATTACAACATATCCTATTGTAGAAATTCATCATCTATACTTTTTTATTGAAAAGTCATTTTTATTGTAATTTGCTAAAACTTATACAAACACTTAGAAAATATTTCTTTTATTAAAATTCTAATTGTGAAGACTGAACATATCTTTAAAGAACTTTTTCATTTTATGGTTTAGACAGATAAATTTGGAAATAGTTTTCATTCAACAATTATGATTGTAAGTTTGTGTACGCATCTTTCCACCTTGTATAAATGTGTCCAAATATATTTTAACTATTTATACTTTCATTCTATGTCTAGTATTGACTTTTCGCTTACTTTCCTTATACATATATTTATATTTTTATATGGAAAAGTCAACATTTTTGTTGAATAAGAATAAATATAAAATACATGAAAATGAAATAAATTCAATGCAGTGTTAATCAGTTACTTAGCCTTCATAATTCTACATATTCATTGCTTTTTAATGGAAGCTTTGTCGCAGAATGGAATATCTAATCCAAATAATTGAACGTGAAAACCTCCAAATCAAGTTCTATCTCTCTGCAATGAGCACGTTTTTGTTCCCTTCTTGGCAATTCTCTTCTTTTTTTACTTCATTATGTGAAATAAGTTACTAACTGTAGATATTTATCCCCATATAATCCAAAACGCTACATGTATGTGTGACCTCTATGTAATATTTGGATTCAGCACCAATAACTGTCAAAGAATAAACAATGAATGGATACGATTGATTATCGTCCCAATTTGATTCTCTTACATATGTTTGTCCCCAAGTGTATTTTGTGGACTATAATGGAGTCTCTCGCACAGCACATTCACTTTAAACACTGATAAAGATTGTGGTTAAAAGGTTTAAATGTAAAGTTTGAAAACATTATAATGTATTATCTATAAATTTGATATTGAAAGGATTTGTAAACTTGTTACATAATCTTTTAGTTATCATCTTAAAATTCTTTGGATTATACTCCAACATTTATGACCACTTTAAAAATAATGCATAAATCACCTGGGTGCTTATGAAAAAATATGTACAGCTTGATACAAGTTTGATCAATTTTTTTCGTACCAGTTATATAGTTGGTTTGAAACAAATCGTGTTATATACGAAAGAACGTGTGATATATATATAACTGGTACGAAATTTGAGTGTACACTGGAATGAATATGAGAGATTATCGTGAACTGTGCAAGTGGACCATGATATATGTGAGCTCTTTCAACTTTCACCATCGACCCGAAGGTTGTTGTACAACTTATTCCTTCTTCTTCATCGTTGCAGTACGTACCGTGAAATTGTAGAGATAGGTACCAAGCTTGTTCAAGCTCAGCATCTCTACGATGAAATGTCTGATAAAGTCAAAAAGACTCTCCCTATATTGACATAGTCACAGATACAAAAAGTATGGAATCTAGTTGAAACTATACTGCATGCTCATGTGCATTTCTTAATTCTTTTTACCCTTGCTTGAATCTTCCGATTGAGATAGTTGAGTTGATTTCAGGTCGCCTTTTACACCTCTTTCAGCATTTTCAGTAGTCTCCCGGCCAGCCACTGGTTTCAAGATAACCTGAAATTTCTTCGAAGTTGAGATCTCTGTTAGAACACTTTTATTTCTGGTGACAATGCTCCTGCTACATAAGCAGGTTGATTTGTTTTCCTTCACAGTCTAATCTACTGAGACTTTGCACAATGAATTGAATTGTTCTCGTTTCCAATCCACCATGCACTTCGTATAGTACACGGCCTAGAGCTACATTTCCGAACTTAGAACAAACTTAGTCATTCGGAGAAATGGGAGACCATGTAATACAGCAAAAAGGACAATAAGCATACCGGGGTTAAATGAGGAAACATGGATCTATGTCCCAATAAGCATTAGTAGGACATACTCTTATGATAAAAAAAAAAATTAATAAATGTTACCCGATTCTAATACAAATTATCACATCTAAATATACAAACTTAGTCCAAAAGAAATATATCCTAATTCGATTTCTATCATTACAAACGCAGTAGCTAGTGAGCTCTATATAGCAATGTAACGACTATTGAAAAGTCTGAAGTGAATGATGCGTTTGTGTACCGAACAGCAAGATATGCCAAATCTCACAATCCTGGTCTGCTTTATGTGGAAACTACACGGTCGGCTTACTCGAGGATCGACTTGTATACTTGTAGCAATCCTTTTTCACTACTCTTGTCGCACGAATGTATTCCAGTCCATTATTTGTGGCATTAAGAAGGGAGCTAACCAGCCTCTTGAAGGACTACTGGGTCTTCGGGCCAATCTCATTGCATGCGAGTTTTGACGAGTTTTGCTCAACACAGGCAGGGAAGTAAATACTCACCACAACGACGTTGACTCGAGATGGTTCAATATATTCTAATTCTTCTCAAGCTCATCAGTGGAGCTTGCTCCATGTTGACAACTACGCGAAAAGTATGACACATATCCATGCGACTTATGTGATGTGTTTGTTCGTATCCTCCTCTCACTTGGCAAAAATAAAAATATATATCGTTTTGATTTGGTCAAGTGTAATATTTAGCTTTGGTATACAGCAGATTTCGTTCTTGCTGTTTTGCATAGGTATGTCTAATCCGTGGATGATCATGACTCAACGTTTGGCTGCCACGCATGCTTAAGAAGAGATATCACGCTGTGCTCATACGTGTCAATGGTTTCACTTACCAATGACAGCTGTACGCCTTTATTCTCTGCACACATATCTTGATCATAGAAGTGGCTGATTTGAGGTACCAAGACATGTATTCAGTTTACTGTCTCAGAAGTTTACTGTGATTTGCCGCTTCTTTCTTCCACTGGCAAGTGCTTTGAACCATAGTTTTAGCGACAACATTATAATATGAGACGACAGTCATGTCGAAAGGTAGATTCTGTCTTCGAATGACGGGCCTGTGGGACTGGAATCCACTACATTTAAGATGGCAGTACTTAAAGTGTATGGAGGGTTTCGAATCCTAGCTGTCCGGGATTCTTTCTGAACGTACTGCATTTGACGGGGATGAAGTCAAATCTAGAGTGCGGACTGATAGAGAGGAAGATGGCTGTGGTATGTGGATGTAGTACCTAACTATGGCGTGGGTTCATGTCAGCAAAGGGCGTACACTTGGGCACAGAAATTCAAGTCACATACACACGACTCTCCAAGTCAGCTTCGTGTCGTTGCAAAACATGAACCTGTATCGTAGGTACAGTTGGATCCATAATCTCTCACGCAGCAACTGGGCTTTCCCCGATGTACACACATGTCTCGGTTGACCCCATATCACAGGAAACGCGGGTCGTGAAACTGTGGACACTTGGTGGCTTGAGGGCAGACATTCCAACTAACATTTATGCGAGGTTAGATGCTAGCATTCATGCATTGCCATGAATGCAAACATTAAGTGTGAGTTGTACAGTACATATCCGTACAGTCCTGATCGTCATCATCAAATCAGATTGATCAACATGTCACAATTTTGCAGTACATTCCAACTCTTGCACTGGTCAACCAGGATGTCATGGACTATTTGGTCCCCATCACTCATTCACCATATGCGTGTTTCTGATGCTGTCTCTAGATTTACAGCCGTAAGTTTGCCGGCACTAAGTACAGTGAACCTCGGAGCAAGACTTGCATGACATCCACTAATCTACACTAAGCTTTTTCAATAGCTTCCACACATTCAGCAACGGGTGCCTTTCTTTTCATAGCTTCCATCAGCGCCTCATACACCTTAGCGTTGTTCTTCAAAAGCGAACCTGCGTATAGCACCTGCAAATCATAAAACGGATCACGTCAGCTTGATGAAGAATTGCATTTCCAAGTATCATGTTTAACTTTGGCTTTCAGAAACAGAACATAACACAGCATACTTCACAAAGGAAGTTCATCTGGCAAGAACTTACAGCCCATCGGGTAAGATTTTGCTGATCATTGTTCGAAAGTGGTGGCTTTGTCCTGTTGATCAGTCTCTGCAAAAGAACACACCAGTTAGATTCACTTCGCACTATTTTCTACTGAGGATATATTCAGTTTGAGAAGGGAATTAGAATTTCACTTTAAGTACCTGTAGAGAGAACAGATCCGCCGATTGACCCATAACCTTGTCAAACTTAAGACCTTCAGCGGCAAGACCAGCCATGGAAACCACAGCCAACCTTCACAGGAAGAGTACACATGAGATGAGGTGAGTCACATCTCCTGGATACTGACGTGTACAGCCTTCGTATCTAGGCCAAGAATAAATATCTACAAAACATTGACATCGTTTTTCTGTAGTATCATATCGAGATCTGAAACTTGTTAATTTCCAAGCAAAGACCTGTCATGTTTTGAACAGCTGCTGTCTGTTCAACGTTCTGAGCTATCTCTCATGGTCTAGCAGAAATGCTAGGTATTCAACTGCCAGAAGCACGTATCATTCTTGACAGAGTAGGATACATTGCAATTACATACGGCTACAAGCATGTGCAAGATGGCACAGATCAGATGTGTAACGCAGTTGTTAAAACCCTGTAAATTCAAAAATCTAAATTTTTCTATTTCGAGTTAAATTCAGGCGGTGAAGAAACTATCCCATTATCAAGGCCGAAATCGTTACAGATGATTGTACACACCTGTCAAGCTCTCTTGAATCAAGCTGGCCTTCATATATCCTCTTCTGCAACTTCTCATCCACGAGATTTACGTGCTCCTTACCGAGATCAAGCGAATAAGCCACGATTGGAAGTCCCACCAAGTACGCCACTGATTACAAAATGAACATGAGTCAAAACAAGTCAGTCCACCTCATTAGCAAATGTGGTAATCAAAGGTCGCAGTTGTAGGACATCCTTGCAGTAAACATCGGTCCATCTTTCTTAAATTTTGTGCCAGTGGGCAGAATTTTGGAAGAGTACGGGTTACCTAAGAAGTGAGCAGCTTCATGCCTCAGAACACGCTCTTGGGAATCAGCAAAAGAGCCTGAGAACAGATCAATACCCGCCTGCAACAATCTGAATGACCGAATGTCCAAGACATGAAATTAGCGGTTGTAGAGGACTCGTCCGAGCTCGAAGCAGAAACCACTCAGGTTCATACATCAGAGCTCAGATTTTCCACTTGAAAAAAGTCCTTTCAAAATCCTACCGAAATACTTTATGAACAGCCTTCTGAAGCAGACACATCCCAACACGGTGATAATGCTAATTAAATGCATAGAATTTATGTTTACTTAATATTGCGCATATGAGTGTGTGGATCTCCGCAGTGAGTAATTCATAAGCTGCTCTGAATCGCCTTCAGAGAGCATGAATTTGAACAAGAGATTCACAGTCGTTAATGAAACCTATGAGCGAGCCCAGGGAAAGAAACAGGCCAATTTGAGAAATTCTTTAGTGCATGAAACTCACCCAGGTGAAACACTTCCCACGGCTAGGACACCCAAAGATATGCCTCCAACCAAGTACGGCACGAAAAATCCCCAATCCTGTTCCAGAAGTATGTGGAGGTTTTCAGTGGAAATGAGCTGAGAGGCTTGATCAGAGAGAGTGCCCACTGAGCATCAATGTGTGCGGCCATGCATCCGGAGCAAATCAGAATTGAGGAAATCTATGCTTGATCGGTGTCTTTGCAAGAATTGAAACTGTGTACTGTACCCCAGGTAGCTGGCCTGCGACCACTGCGATGACGCTGGTGGTACCCACAACCGTCGCCAAGAAGGCAGCCTGCGCATGCCCCACAAGCCGAACAGATTTGCGAAGCTCATCAATGCAGTGCTCAGCATAACACTGCACAGATTCTATATTCATCTCGGCCTACGGCCATGTCGTCTTTCCATGCGAAAGCAGAGATGCTCGAGATTGATGCACACAGTACACAAACAGAGAATCTGCTGATAGGAGGGCATGTCGAGCAAGACAGCGCCGGAAGAGGTAAGAAGAGGACTCACGTCATTGCGGGTGCTCGGAATTGCAAGCTCCTCGGCGTTCTTGATTCCCAGAGTCGTGAGCTCGCGGATGAATGTCTGCAACATGCGGGAACAGGGCGTTAGAATCAAACAGTGGGTCGGAGTGCGAAGGAGCGAAGGAGCGGACGAGCTTGAAGGATTGAGGGGAGGATGAGGAGACGAAGACCAACCGTGCGCCGCGAAATTCCGGACGACGTGCTCCACTGCTTGGCGATGCCTGCTTCTCGCAGCTCGTCCAGCGTAGTCCTCACGGCGTCCGCATCCTTCTGCAATTCAGTTGCTTCGTCATCTTCCCGTCTGCTCATCTCCAATGCATGCACACCATCGCAGTTTAAGAAAAGCAAAGCCCGCGCAACGACGTCGACAGAAGGTCCTTGAACTGGCAATGGACAAGAATGCGGCGACTCATATCTTCAATCCGAGACTCAGAAAACTCCTACACATTCATTCCATCCCTCTGCGCATTGTGTGATTGCATTGACAGCTTCGAACGATGGAAATTCCTAAAGGTTCAATTCTTGAGCGAAACTGGTTCGAAGTTCGTTCTTTGGAGGCACATTTGGGTCACGAGATCAGCGACTACGCACGAATGGAGGGAACATGACAGGATTTCAAATAGCCATGAAAAATCACATGAACTCAGACGACACAAATGCGAGCGACTCTGACCGTTTCTATGGCCTTCGAGAGGGATTGGAAGGACTTCTCGGTGCCGACGCTGTCGGCGGCGGTGGCTCTGATCCGCAGCGAAGTGGCAGCCCATTTCCCGTTCCGCCCCACGACATTCCTTCGAGAAGCCGCTGCCGGGGCCAGTGTCGGAAGCAGCACTCGCGACCCTGCAGCTATGGCTACAGCGCGTTCCATCTCGACTGACGGGATCGGCTGCGGAAAGTGACGCAAATTTGATCACGGAAGCAGGCGAGCATTCGCAATGCCGTCGAATGTCGCTAAGAAGGACGTGGACGTGGTGCCGGGCGGGGGACCGACCTGGCTCTCTCTGGACAAGTGGACGAAACACGCCTGTGCACAAGCTGAGCCATACGTTTGGGATGCTAGGCAACGCTTTGGAAGTCCACTCTGCCTGCTTGCAAGTCGGCCATGGAAAGTGTGAACCTGATGCATCCAATCTTAAACCGATCACTCGAAGATAATTATCGCATCGATTGAATCATCTTTGGATGATCGGTTAAGTCAAAATCATTTCTGGAGTAACGCAGTCGTTAGCCATGAGGTTCATATTCTTCTCTCCCGTACTGGAGATTACTTCCCTTCTCAACCAGCTTCCTGACGATGGCACCACAGTTTACGTTCGTTGTCCACTTCCTGTCGACCCTGAAGTTTGAAAATTAAGACTTTATTTGATATGATACATTTTAGGAACTACGTCTTCTTTTCCACTACAGAGAGTTTAAGTCCGTAGTATTCCATTATGTTTTGTCTCCGTCCCTTCCATAAATTTCTCGCCGGTGGATGAGTGTTTGAACATAGTTGTTTACGCGTGCTCAAATCGGGGGTGCAAACCATCGTCGAGAAATCGTCTTCTCGGAAATGTCGTTTCGTTTGTACATCTACTCTTGATGACATGACACATTGACTTGGAATGCAACGTAAAGACTAATGCTGTCATACACCCAGACGTCCATTGAGAAGGTGGCATGAGTCAATTCACGGCAAAAGATCACATACATTCCGTACCACTTCCAATTAAGGAATTTCAGCTGACTCGCTGTGGATCTTAAGATAGTTGGGCTTTACGACTCCGGCTGGGAGGAGACAATAAGACATACAGAAGGAGGGAGACCAGAGCAATGAAAGTTCGGGTACAGAAAGCTTGAGATGAAAAGTCTGTTTTAAATGTCGGCAAATTGAGACCAATACACGGATATTTTTACACAATTTTGAGTTTGATAATGTACATCTACAGACCGCCGGTGGCCTTGAGCCCAAGGACAATTCCGACACCGATGATGTGGCCCATAACTCCGCAGGCAAGAGTGTCGGTGGCAGTGAAGCCAGCAGGGTCACCGGTCTGAAGACCTGAGTCTCTGTCTACGAGCTTCAATCCAGACAAGGCCTTCCTGTTGGCAGATGGTGCAAGACCGAATCGTCCGGCGAACAGCATCAAAGTGGTGGAAGCAACCATGATCTGCAGAAAATCGGGTCACATCGAGTCAGACAATCGACTCAGTTACAGTGAAGAACCTTCTGTCCTGCAACAGGACATAAATCACATACCACACTGCCTCTTGGGCGACAAGACTTTGCAAGCTCACTTCCTTCCATTGAGCGACGAAGGAAAGCACTTACCAAGTTGGTGGATGATCCAATGTAGTCACATCGTGCACCCAATGCACCCTTTCCGTTCACAGACTTGGGCAACATGGCCTGCAGCAAGAGAACAGTACATTAAGAAGACGAAATTTTGCCTTCACTTCACATTGCGAACACATGACATAAAATTGTCCAAAACAGTTCAAATGAGAGCAGACTGAAGCAGACAGCGATTACATTCGACCGCGAGAAACAGTAGCGAGTCTGGAAAAGAAAAGGCCCCGCTATTCGACCACCTCCTTCTCCCAGGAGATGGCACCGAGCGATCACGGAGAAACTCACCACATTTTGAACCTTGCCGAAGCTGGTGGTGGCCCTGAGACCGGCGAACTCGCGGGCGGGCGCGGCCACCACGGCGGAAGCGGAGACGATAGAGGTGGCCATTTTTGCTGCGGATTGCGAATTGGTCGTCCGACTCGATGCTCGATGCTGCGCTGAGAATTGGGCGATGGACGAGCTTCTGATCGCGCCTCTGTCCTACAACACCTCCACAAATGCAGCAATCCTCCCACGCGCCTGGCTCTCGCCCTCTTGCTCGGGCAGTCCCTCCGGGCAGCGACACCGTGCGGCCAACCGAGCAAGGCGGCTCGTGCCCACGCCGCGGTGTTGTTTCGAACCGCGCTGGGAACTGCGCGCCTGCCCGAATGGGCTCAGCCAATGGAGCCTTCCAAAACAGGATCGGACCGGATAGCGGGTAGGGTTATGATCCAATCATAGGACCGAATGCCCTCCCCCGCGTCCTATATTCAATCTTGTTCCGAGTATTTCCGGTATCCCGTCGGGAGCCTTTGTCTGGGCCGCATTTCTCGTTCTTGAGGATTTATTTCTTCTATAGCCTTTGTGTAGCCCAACGCGGTCGCCCCCAATTCATGACATTTGGGTGACCACGCACCGTAACCAACCACGTACCTCTTGGCCCATGATTCTCGCACGTCCTACCTGCACGGCTGGATTTTGCTCTAAAATACTATTGTTCGGTACATCAGTTGTAATTGTTCCAGATAAGTAAAAGTGTGTGGTAAAATATTTCCATTGTAAGAACTGAATACATTTGAAATCTCTGTTATTTCCTTGAGGGCTGAAAATTAAAGAGCTTTTTTTATATAAAATTGTATATATATATTTAAACTAAAAAATATGTTTCGTATACGATAGAAAGTAATCATTGAAATTAAAATTCTCAAATGAAAACTTCAGTTTCCAGAATTTTGCGTGAAATATTGAAATATTTTTCATTTATGCGTCTTTTTAAAAAAAATTCAATGTTTTTATGAATAATTTACTGAATAAGAGAAAAAAAACTTCTGCATAAAATTTTTTCATTTATTTCATAAATATTTCCGTTCATTCCAGCTAACTTACTAAAGAGAAATTTATTTGCTAGCAATTCAAAGTACAATTAAAATATTTTATAATCACTCTCAATACTTTGACATCACCTTAATTTTACTCCGAGTATTTATAAAAAAAATATGAGACACAACGGTCTATAAGTGTTCCAAGACACAACCTACCTCACATGAAAATCTCTTGTTCCCCTCTTTCTTTTGAACAGCAACAGATTCAGAACAAAATTGATGTAGGAGCTGACATTTGAATTATTGTGGATTTTTACGCTAAGAACAAAGTAACTTCGAGAAAAAAAAATATACTTTTAAGATGGATTGCTCTTATTAATCTTGATTATTTAGTACATTAGATCATCATGACAGACAACATAACCTTGACATAACATATGTCAAACCTTCATTCAACAAACTGTTAAATCGGTAATGAAGCATATGTAGTATATGCTTACCCATCCCTCATCAGATTTAGAAACCAGCCAGTAAAAAATTGTCTCTTTCGGATGAACTTGCCAAATTTCATGAAGATTTTACACTGGCACGTTCTAAGATCCATAATCCGATTCCGTCAAAAGAGTTGTTCATGACTTGAATTCATATAAGTTCCACAGTGTGTTCATTCTCATGAGGTATGGTACAGGAATTTAACTATAACCTACAAAATTGATATATTTTCAACGAACAATTGTCCTCGTATGTTTTTCAAGAATAGAGCTTAGGAATGCGAATTTGACCAACATGAGGAATTCAACAACAACTGTTGTGTCTGAAGGCTACAAAAACAACCTGCTAAGTTATACTCGTGCAATAATGATTTCTTTATATCACTAATCTTCATATGATACAACATACTTTGGTAATATTTTTTCTCCAACTAAATCTAAGATAGAGACCTTCCAGAATATATTCCACCCATTATTTTTTTTCATTTAGAAATATTCTGCATTAACATTATTACTAAAAAATTATCACACAAACTTTGGATCAAACATAGACATTCACCATGAAATCTTTTTATTCAAGTCCTAGACATTCAGAATACCAACAAATCAAAAATAGAGACATTATTTTCTACGATCAAAAAGCTCATAATATTTTTCAAAAATTTACATATGAAATCTAGAAATATATTTCTATTATAATCTTATTAATAAAATATATTAAATAGCCTGGCCTGGCAGGCAAGGAGCAGAGAATAGTCGAGCCTGTGGAGTGCTTGACTGAAGACAGGAGTGCATGCATTGAGAATTCGCAGCGTTGCAGCCGAATCCCCTGCACCATCACAGTCAGACACATTACTAAGTGCAGTGGTTGCGCGACGTCCACCTTAACGGATGTTCACCTGTTGACTTCCGTGTGAGAATAATTCTATACAAATATTGACTTTGACAATGCTTGACATTGACGGTGATTAATTTACGTCATATTGGTATGGATGCAATCGATTCCAGGACTGAAGAACTTTCAGGAAAATGAAGAGTTTGACCTCTGGTGCATTCTTCTAGCGTAATTGTTTGTTTTTGCTGCACACAATGTCATATGTTCGTCTATCACCATCAGGGCTCAGGCACATAACAGTCTGTGGCGTCCAAATCTATTCATCCAAACGATTATGATGGGTAGATCTCGTCCAAGCATTTACTATCATCAGCCTTTTCCGACTTCACAGAGATTCATCGTTTTTAACTATGATTGTATGAATTGATATATCTATTTGAGATGTAATGAAGCTACATATGGGCGTCTCATACATCATACTGGTGTGCATTTGAAAAATCGTCTACCAGTTGACTGAATGAAGCTATAAGGTTGTATCCATCTGTTTTACCAAGAGCCAATTGTTGATCAAGCCAGCTGCTACAGTTGGTCCACGTCTCGCTTTGTTTTCAGGGCTGTATAAACTTAATCTTGTAAGCAGAGGCATCAAGCATAACATCTGTAGTGTACCACAATGATGCCTCAACCACAGCAGCCATGAAGGTTTACGAATGTGGTCCTGGTTCTCGACCTGCTCCGCCCCAGTTCCTACGTGGAATCTTTAAGTCTACTATCATTTATTGAGTTGCTCAAACAAAAATTGTAAAGCACATATTCAGGAGACAGGTCTCACAGTCCAAGAATCCTTGTGCTGTAGTCGGACTAGAGTTTCTAATCTGTGAGTCTGATCCTCACTGAAATGCGCCGTGGTGGAGGTGAGACAAGACGCATCTACCGTATCTGGTCTGACTGCCTTGCGGAAGACCGAATGCCCGTCGAGGAGCTGAACACGATCGTGACAGCCTAATAAGATAATGTGATGATAATTAGACAAAACACACTGAAACTTCTCAGGGAGAACCTATTCCCATTCGATAACATAGCCGTGGAATCTGATGACGATGACGTAAGCGACTTCTCGATCTGATATTCTTAGATGGGTACGTTTGGACTCCATACTGCAAAGGATGCTACGACTCAGATTGAGGATTCCCAAACCATCGCAGTAGCGTACGGGACCCAGGTTTGTAACCAGGATCATACATCTGTCGGGTACATTGTCACTTTTGTGTACGTGGCGTACAAATCGTGCGGCCAGAAGGTGATGGTTGATGCTTGCAGTTCTTAGTACTTGCATTTCGTACGTCATATCATGCCTAAATCTCAATATAATGTTGTGCCAGTATACAACCTCTGCTGCGTGATTTTGATGGTTTCTTCATCAAATTAAGTAGAATTAATTGATCCCAGAAGTTCCGCCCCTCACCGCACCTTACCCCGTGACGCTGTCTATACAAGCTAGTGCATCTTCATCAGCGGAGAGCGATCAGACATCACGATCGAGTAGATTGGCTACCACGGTCCTCGGGGTGGACGCTGGGAGCAGACTATCGTCATCATGGCAAGTTGCGCCGTGTGCGTAGCCAGTGCTACAAGTGGTGTGAGACCAAAGCTCCGTGGCGCCGCCGGAACTTGGAGATTGCAATGCTGCTCTGGTCATCACGATTCTTCTCCTGCTCATGAGCATCGTTCATGTCTTGGTGCAGCCGTCAGTCTATTTCCATGAGAAGGTTCGATCGCAACACCAGCTGTTTACGTCTTTCTGCGCGTGAATGTTTCATATCTGGCCATGGATCGTGGCTGTTCGTTCGGTGGTCTATCGGTGTCCTGCTTCCCGATCTTCATAACCTTGGCGTCTCACTTGGATTACTTACTCACTTGCAGCATCTGGCGGCGTGTGGTGGTATTAAGGCGTTCTTAGCTTGCCCTCAAGATACAAGATTACAAGCTCATGAACATGGCGGAAGGTCAAGTGAATCCTTCAACACGCTGTCCGTGAGATGCGCAGTGAGAATACACAATCTAGCTTTCGTCTGTCCCCATGAGATGGAGCTAAACGACACGTATCCCTCAGATCAAACATAGTTAGCTTTCTGCTTTGCAGCATCAGTCGTTCTTCGTCGAGAACCGTACTTGCGCCTTATGGCGGTTCCATTCCGGGCTGAAGTGCTTTGCCACCGACCGCTATTTCGTGACTTGCTTCTCACGACAGCCCCGTGCTTGTGTCGATCACCAGATACGTGAGGTCTTGCAGTTTCCGACAATATGGCTCTAACTCAAAGACTACTGCTTCTACTGCCTGCACATCTCTGATTTTCAGATAGAATATTCAATATTGTTGGAAGTATCGTCTTGACTGATCTAATTCTATCAAGACTCTACCACCAACATTACTGAATACTTGCCTCTGTCGTCTGTAAGCACTAATCAAACTCTGCAAACTTCCACAAACATCATCGACAAGATTCTTCTCGTGAAAACCGAGAAAATAGATGTGGGCATAGATTTGCAGACATAGGCGAATCTCTCGAAAAGGTTATGAAAAGAAATTGGTGGAATCTCTAGCAGTTTTGATTTACGTTAGCCATCTGATATCCAAAGATCATGATTCTTTCTGATATCATTGCCTTGCGACTCATGCGGTCTCGATTTATAAAGCGTCGCCACAGAGTACCCAGACATACAATGGCCAGCTCGATCCTTTCTTGGAGTGCTGATTGGATCAATGGGAGATAATGCTTCATGGATCTCTGGATAGTTGGGAATCGACGACGGAAGCATTCGACGTAAGGTGATGGTCCTCTCTTTGAGACTGACCATGCTCAATGCCTGTGTTCAGTTTGAAATCCTGACAGCACTCCATACTCAATTCAATATCACGCCACGTGAAAACATAGTTAGTACCGAAGATCAGACTGGCAGTCGGAGAACTGTCAGTGTGATCGAACAGTTCAGGTATATCAAGAGCTCCAGGGCCAACACTTGATACATGCATCGTCCCTTAGAAGCAGCTCCGATTTCATCTCCTTCAGTTACCAATATTCGCATTAAGTGCATCGCGTAGAGTTTGGGTTATACAACAATTCGAGTCGACCAAATTGTGTCAATGCATGCTATTGCATTGACATTACCGTCATTGAAGAAAGTCTTTGGATTTTTTTGGTTAGTTCTTGAACTTGAGAAACTGTTCTAGGTTCATCCACCACTTTTGGCCTGGTCAATCTGTACAAATAAACCGGTAAGCTGCGAAGCGATAAATTCTGTATCCTAGTCACAACCTGGAGAATTGGAAATAACTCGCCATCAATTAATTTCACAAGAATGTCCGTTCTCGATAATCCACCTGTGAGTCATTGAATATGCTTGACTTCTGCTGCTATGGCCTCATAAGTGTATGCATTATATTACATAGAACGAAATAGGTTGAAGGTTGAATGGCTTGTCGCATGAGTCAATATTTGACAATATCTTAAATGACTAAAATTATGGAGATGTTCAAAAGTAAATGAAGGTGAAAATTTGAACTGAAGTTTAAGTTAAGCTTAACCTTTATATTGATTAATTTCATATGGTTTAAATCCGTAAGTCATATGCAGATCTTCCTCAATACATGGAAATTGAACTACATGATAAAATAGTTTGATCTATACGTTAAGAACCTTATACCCCTTATGTAACATTTTTTTCTTATTGTTTATATGTGAGGCAGTGTTGCTATTTATAAAGAAATCAGCCTGAAGTAAACAATGTTGCAGCTTTGGAAATAACAGCATGATATCTTATCTTTGAGTTGAAATCCTTAAAAGCTTAAGATTAAAAACATTTAGATTTTTTCAATAACTTGATTTATAGTTTCTTTTTAAATATAAATCACAAAACTTAAATTGAAAACTTGAAATAAAAAACACGAAGTCATTAGATTATAAGTATTTATAATTTTAATAAAAAACCGGATTTTTCATTAAAAAAAGATTTTGAAATTTTAAAAAAACTTTATCATGGATTTAATGTAGATTCTAATATCATGTTTTTTCTAACTCATGATGTTTGTACTTCATCATCAATTTAAAATCATAAATGTGTGAACACGTAAATTCAGCTATGCAACAAATTTAATAAATATAAACGTTATACAATTGACAAAATAGAAAACCAAATTCTTTTCAATACAAATAAGAAAAATACATTAATAAAATATATTTTTTATATACATACAATAGAAATTTACTCTGTTTGAAAGAAAAATCAAATCAATCTCTTTATGTTTCAAATAGTGAAAACAGAAAACGTTTTGTCATTGTCGTTTTGAAAAAATTAAATGTCTCAAAAGTTATCTGTTTGTCTATCTGATTTCAACTTATCATGTAGATAGCCCAAAACATACAAAACCTTATCTATATACATCTAAGTTGATAAACAAGTAATTAATGTTTTTGCCTTTCATTTCATACATGAATAATATATTATGATGCTTAGAAAATTATACTGATATTTATAAATGCCTTGAAATTTTATTATAAATTTTATTTTTTTCCAAAAAGTAATTTTTAATTTTTTTCAACATTGAATTTATATAATTTATTTTCTGTTCATATTTTAAATCTTGTTAACATTATTTCATTTGTTTTCACATGATCAAAAATAAGCTTGATTTTGATTTTTATATTTGATAAAAAAAATATTTAGTTTCAATTCCATCGTTGTATAATATAAGCCAAATGGTGGATTGCGTAATAACAAAAAATATAAGTAGAAATTTAAATGAAATATTATGTAGTCTAACAGAATAATCATTTCCTAATATGAATGCAGAACATGATGTTATTTTAACGCTGATGTAATAAATCAAAAGGCTTATCAGATTACTTGTTATCTTTTTCATTTAAAGGATAAATAATCTAAAAAATTTAATTTATTAAGTAATATATTCAAGTAAATATTAATTTTCTAACCTATTTATTAAATTAATCCTATATTTTTTGATGAGATGTAATTTGAAATAAAATTTGATTTTACTGAATTTTTTTTAAAAAAAAATTCAATGAATATGTTTACTTTTAGTTTAATAAATTAAATATTTTTATACAATTTCAAAATAATTTTATATTTAAAATGTATTTTTTTTAAATAATAGATAATGATGTTCATAATCTGATTGCAAATAAATATTTTAGTATAATCAAATATCGATAATTATTTATAGAATATACAGAGTTAATAGTGATCAGCAATATAAAAATTAAATTTGTATTGAAACATGATCACTGAAATTTAGTTTGGAACATTAAAAAATATATAAGATCTGAAAAAGTTTAATAAATTATATTTATTTATAAACATTTGAACGATGTTTACAATTGATACTGGTTTTTGTTATTGTTATTTTCAATTACAATATAACTGAAGTTTTTTTTATCAAACTTACATTTTCTTATTCTACTAACTTATCAAAAAAATTCGTATTTTTTAGTTTTGAAAACATGATCTTAATTTGCTTATACATGTGTTGGATCTTTCGAGTAACATCAACTTTTAACAATTGAAAAGCAATTAATATTAATTTACCAATCATTCAATTCAAATGAATTTTATTATCTACATAATATCTTATTCCAAAAGAATGTCATATATTTATAAGTTATGTTTTCTAGGCTTAAATGTCATACATGACAGCTCTTTAGTCAATATTTAGTACAAATGTACTAAATATTATATATTATTGACTCATAAAATGTTAAAATTTATAATTTTTTGTAGAGTTACCTTAATCTTATATAATTTTTTGTCATGAATAATCAATCTCTAGAGCTTCTGACAGATCACTTGTATTGTTAATACAAGTGATTTTAGATTTTTTTCCATATACTATAAATGAAGAGATTGTTCAATTTTAGAAGATGTCATATATGAATTATTAGATCTCTTTTTTATAAATTGGCAAAAAAAAAATTTACATGTAACAGAAGTGGTTAGAAGTGACAACATTAAGATTTCATATATTACTTAAAACTTTTTTTTAATTGCACATTGCATTAACCTAACTTCATAATCCATTTTTTAGCAAGTTATACTTTTTGAAATTAAAGTCTTGAATCATATTGTAAAAAAAACACTATTAGCTTTACTCTTCATACAACCTATTTTTCCAATGTGATCACTCTTGCCACTTTTTTAAAGTCTATTGTATTTTTATTTAGATATTTAATCATGGATCTAAATTTAGCTATATATCCAAAACTTTTGTACTCTTCAAACACACCTTAGTTGAATTGCATATAGTGTAATATTGGATAAAGACTATGGAGAAGATAACAATATCTTTTGCTTTAAATCATTGATTAACAAAACAATTATAATTCTTATTCCAACATTTATCTATTTTTTAAGATTATGAAGATCAATAAAAATATTATCTAAGAGATAAATGTGAGATTGTAATGTCAACATCATATTTTTGTTGGAAAATTTTTAGTTTTAAAAAGTCAAACAAATTAGTTTTCAATTTTTTTGGAAAAAATTTTCATCCAAGAGCTTTAAATATACAAGCGTCAAACTTATCTAATTGTTTCAAATATAAAAAAATTTAAAATAAAATAATAATGTTCAAAACATGATTCTATTTGTCAATGAAGTTTAAAAATATGTGTTTTTTTCTCTGTCTACCTTTTTTTTGGACGGAGCAACACATTTGTTACCAAAACTTTACTTTAACTTGCATCTTGTGATGCAAATAGTCAGTCTCATTGTATTTTACTATCATATCTTGCATTCTCATACTTCATGTCTATCAATTTATTTTGCAAAATCTTGATTGTGTTGTATATGCAAAAAAAATTATTTTTTTGCTTACTAATGCATGATTTGCTAACAACTACAATTTTTAATATTTTGAATGTTATTAAAGTTTATCAACCTTAGTTTGCTACTTCAAATGCAAATGATTTTTGTATTTGAAATTTTTTTGAAAACTTGTTTTTTAACCGTTGATCAAAATGATTGAAAGCATATGTCTAAGATTCCATAAAGTTTGGTTTTTAAAATTTTGAGTATTATTGAAAGTTTTATAAGCTCCAATTTCCTATCTCAAAAGAAAATGATATTCAGCTTTGAGATTTTTTAATGTTAACGGATAAATAGATCCAATATAAGCATATGTTAAAAACATCATAAGTCTTAATTTTCTCCACGTTACTACATTCACCTTCTATCTTATATGTTACTCTATCAACTTTTAAAGATTATACAACATGAATTGATTGATGTGTAAAATTGAGTTAGCTATATAACATAAATGATTTCCATCAATTAATCATAGATTGAACTTGTCGTAACATGAAAGTTAAGACAATATATAATCTTCATTTGAGTAATCAAAGATTCATTGTTATGATTTTCAATGATTATTAATTTGTTTTTGTGGTTGAAAAATATCAAATGAAATTTGAGTTTTATTTAAATTTATAAAGATATGTTTGTTTTATGAAAAATTAATTATATGATGATACATCATATGAATATAGTATATGATGCTCACGCGGATCAAAGATTAAGATTCAATTCATAGAATTTATGAAAGTTTAGAATTTCAATTGTACTGAATAATATGGCACTAAACTCAAAAGTACATTATAATTTTCTGAATACTGATTATCAAATTGGAAATATATATATCAACAA